GCGTGAGCTCGCCGCGAGATCCCATTTTGCTGGAAACTCGAAGCCAGTCAACTCTAGCAGCGCCGACGTAGTGTATGTTGCCACACGCCCCGTTCACGTGAGCAGTGTGCTTCGCCGTTCGGCCAAGGCGTTGAAGCCGCCGCGATGTCGAGGGTTCAGCAACCCTTTGAGCACACCAAGAGCTGCAGTTCTTGACGAACTGCAAGAAAGTGAAGGCGTGCTGCTGCGCATTAGACTTGTGACTGGTCTGGCCACTGTTTGCCGTGCTGGGCACCATCGAGTTCCCTCGTAAGTGGCTATTCCACTACAAAGAACGCTTGCATGTGCACGGTGTACGTTGTGCTACGCACCAGCTACCGACTGCGTCGCTTTCGTTGCTAAGAGCCCCGCCCACTCCAGCCCATGAACATGTACAAAGTGAAAGTTCTTCGAGACCAGAAGCCTCAGCATTGAACGAGATGTTCGAGGAAAGCACTTGGCATGCAAGATGAACTAATAGCCTGGCAGTCGACTTCTACGCGAAAGATAGGAAGAGGTACCGCGAGCACATACTGCTGTCGCTGGACACGTCTAAGGGCAGCGAAAACTGCAAGGACCTGATGACCGACTTGTTGGAGGAGAAGGACCGGGGAAGCTTCACCACTATTATCTGGGAGTAGTATTAGCTGCAGGAGTAAGCTGTGCAACATGGAGGAGGATGACATTCTTAACTGAAAGCGCGCTAGGAAGTACGTATCGAGAATGGATGCATTCAAACTGTTTCTCAAATAAGCTTTAGCGGACGCGGAGGTCCATCAAGAAGGCAATGTAGCGTTTTACGTGGTGAACGAGATTTCCAACTATTCAGCTTTACTCTTCTATCGAGTGTGCTGAAAGAAAGCTGCCAAGGCGACATTAGTACGGAGCAGTGGCTGTGGGTCCCGGCAAGATGTTAAGCGTTTTCGCCTCCATCATCAAGTTACTGCAGGTTACCAACCAGCGACGCCAGACTGGTCTTTCGTGCTCGGATCCCAGTTAGGGATTTTTCTTGCGGAAACAAGGGATCATTTTCAGAGGGGTAAGGTTGCTTGTTTGCCACTGGAATTGGTTCTCCACACGACCCCAACCGTTTTGTTGTAAAATGCGAGCCAGTATTAGCGTTGGTGTTGGTGTTATTTGCTTGTGTGCTACTCTCTTGTGGAACCGCGCCGGTGTTGGAAACGCCATCACTGGCACTTGTATGGGAGTCAGTACTAGCTTCGCTGTCATTTTGATTGCTGGTAACACTGGTGCTATTGCTTGGAGGGTTGAGGATAGTGTTCCACAAAGCAACAGTATCTTCGTCTCCATACTCTCCGACTTCTTCCCAGTCAAACTGCTCCAGATATTCCTCCATTTGTTGCTCACTAACAGCAATAATATCGAACTCAGAAGCCAAAGTATCAACAACCTCGCTCTCCAGGAATTGTGTGCTGGAGAAGCTACGCGGATCTAATGGAGCCGACCCAATGACCGCAGGGTCTTGGGGCATTGTTGAACTAGCTTCTCGCTCCTCCAGGGAACGCGCTACATCTGCTCCAACGTCTTGCTGCTCGGTAAAAGGACCCTCGCGGGTGGTGCTGAATGAAGCTGCGCTTGGATCTGTCGGTTAGGAGTAGTGAATATACCTCCAGGCTCTTGACTTGGAGTTTCCGCTGCTGCAGGTGTAGGATTTGATGAAGTTGTACGAGCCGGAGTCGTACTAGCTGCAGTCGTTCGAGCAGCAGTCGTTTGAGCAGGAGTTGTACGAGCTGGAGTCGTACGAGCCGGTGTAGAGCGGGCCGAATTCTGCGGTGTGGTAATGCACGGTCGCTCACGTGGGTCTATGGTCCGTAATAGTTTCTTGGAGGCCGTCGGCATTACTTTCTCTCGGCGATTTTTTTCGCGGACAAACTGACGCATAATCTGGTGTTTAGCAGTCTTCCGAATGCTCATGCGGTTACGTTTCGGGGTGGGTATGAGTGCAAGTTCACTAAAGAGACGTTCACACGTTGCCGTATTTACGGCTACTGACAAACTCGTAAGTGCAAGCACTGGCAGTTTGCTGTCTTTATTTGCGTCTCTTTCATACTCCCAGAACGTGACCACTGAGTCCTTTTTGAAATCGACAGCGCGAGATGTAGAGTAACTCCCTTTAAACCAAGTGAACATTTCACCACGCAGCCCGGTGTCATCGCTATCAACAAATCGACGATAGTAATACTGTGCGAATTGACTCACATCATCAAGCGTTGTGAGGACAGTCGAAGGCAACTGCCGTGCTTGCTCTGCATATTCAGGATGAAGAAAAAAACCCAAGATAAACAATGGCTGTTCGCAAGCATTCCAGCGGGTTTCAACAAGCTCAACTAGTGAGTCGCTGAACTCGGTTGAGGCAAAGCCTCGATAAATCTCCATGTAAGAAAGAACAACATCAGCTACGGTGTTTTCGTCTCTCTGTAAATGAAATGAAGCGGTGCATAATGGTCGAACAATCTTCTCTGCCGTCTCCAGTTTAGTCCAGAACTCATTTTTTCCTAGAACACGAAGCTTTTCTGTCATTTCATTGCTATTTCGATACGAGAAGATAATATCTTCCAGAGCTCCTCGTGCACGAAGCAGAGATGCAAAACATGCCTGCATAGAGTTCCACCGAGTCTCACAAAGCGTAAAAATAGCAAAACTAGCTCCATAGCGCTTATGCATAGCTTTCATCGCACGAACTAACCACTTTGAAGTTGAGGTATTGAGATAACTAGCCACACCTGCAGCGTCCGCTGAAATCTGCTGGAAAACTGTTTTGAGGACAGCTTCCACGAGATTGTAAATATCATGAGCAAAGCAATGAATGAAAGAAATCTTCGGATAGCGAAGAGCCAAAATGCGACGAGCCCGGCCACATTGACCTGCATTATCGGTAACAACAGCACCCACATTCCATATCCGACGCAAGCAGCTCCTCGATCACCTCTTCCATTTGCTCTGCAATCGCAAGTCCGTCATGGCGATCCCCAGCCGGTCTCAAACCATAGTTCATTACACAGCCAAATAGGGTAACCATGCAGCCCAGTACATGCTGCTTCGCTATCGTTTCCCACACATCTGAAAGAAAGTTTACTCTCCCACCACTCCGATCTTGGACAGCTCTAACGTCGTTGCGTTGCTCAATTAGATGTTGCTCTGCACACTCGTCCAGAATACGTCCGCCAAGAATGTGGCGATTTGGCACGGCGCCTGGA